TTTGAGGAAACTGCACACTATTATCCATAGTGGCTGCACCGGTCTGCATTCCCACCAACAGTACAGAGGATTCCCTTTCTTCCACATCCTCACCAACACTTATTGTTTGTTGATTTATTGATAATAGTTATTATGACAGGTATAAGGTAGTATCTTATTTTGGTTTTAAGTTGAGTTTTTCTGATGATTTGTGATAATTGGCATCTCTTCATATGTCTATTGGCTATCTGTGTCTTCCTTGGAGAAGTGTCTATTCAGGTCCTCTGCTCATTTTTTTTTTATATTGGTTGTTTGGCTTTTTGGAGTTGAGTTGTCTGAGTTCTTTATGAATTTTGGATATTAAACCCATATTGAATGTATCATTGGGGAATATCTTCTTTCATTTAGTAGGTTATCTTTTCTTTTGTTGATGGTTTCCTTTGCAAAAACTACAGTTTGATGTAGCCCATTTGTTTATTTTTTCCGTTGTTTCCACTGCCTAAGGAAATATGTCAGAAAAAATATTGCTAAGAGTAATTTTTAAATATATTTTATTGATTATACTATTACAGTTCTCCCAATTTTCCCTGTTTATTCCCCCTCCACCCTTCACCCCCCAACCATCCAGCATTCCCTGCCTTAGTTCATGCCCATGGGTTGTACATATAAGTTCTTTAAATTCTGTTTCCTATACCATTCTTAACTTCTCCCTATTCTACCAATTGCCTACCAATTATGCTTCTTCTTCCCTGTACATTTCCCCCACCATTCCTCCCCTCTCCTTCCCCACTGAAAACCTTCCATGTGATGTCCATGTTTCTGATTCTGTCCCTATTCTAGTTGTTTGCTTAGTTTTTGTTTTTGGGTTTTTTTTTAGGTTCAGTTGTTGATAGTTGTGAGTTTGTTGTCATTCTATTGTTCATACTTTTGATCTTTTTTTTAGGTAAGTCCCTTTAACATTTCATATAATAAGGGCTTGGTGATGATGAATTCCTTTAACTTGACCTTATCTGGGAATCACTTTATCTGCCCTTCCATTCTAAATGATAGCTTTGCTGGATTGATTAATCTTAGATGTAGGTCCTTGCCCTTCATGACTTCAAATACTTCTTTCCAGCCCCTTCTTGCCTGCAAGGTTTCTTTTGAGAAATCAGCTGATAGTCTAATGGGAACTCTTTTGTAGGTAACTGTCTCCTTTTCTCTTGTTGTTTTTAGGATTCTTTCTTTATCTTTAATCTTGCATAACTTAATGATGATGTACCTTGGTGTGTTCCTCTTTAGGTCCAACTTTTTGGGGACTCTCTGGGCTTCCTGGACTTCCTGGAAGTCTATTTCCTTTACCAGATTGGAGAAATTTTCCTTCATTGTTTGTTCAAATAAGTTTTCAATTTCTTGGTTTTCCTTTTCTCCTTCTGGCAATCCTATAATGTGGATATTCGAATGTTTCAGGTTGTCTCAGAGATTTGTAATACTCTCTTTACTTTTTCAAATTCTTATTTCTTTATTTTGTTCCATTTGGATGTTTATTTTTTTTCCTTTTGTTATAAATCGTTGCTTTGAGTCCTGGCTTTCTTCCCTTTACTGTTGGTTCCCTGAATATTTTGCTTTATTTCTGTTTGGGTGACTTTCATTTGTTCTTTCATTTTTCAACCAAGCTCAATCAGTTCTGTGAGCATTTTGATTATTAGGATTTTGAACTCTCTGTCAGATAGGTTGGCTATTTCCTCATCACTTAGCTCTCTTTCTGGAGTGTTGCTCTGTTCTTTCATTTGGGCCATATTTCTTTGTCTCAGTGCACCTGCTAAGTTGTAAGGGGGCAGGATCTTAGGTGTTCACCAGGGTGGGTCAACCTTCTTTGCTATTTTGGTGGGCAATGTCTATGGGGGAGGAGTCAGAGAGGGAACAATGCAGCTCGCTTGCTTGGCTCTGGCCCCACTTTCCAACAAACTGTCATGTGAGGCTGGGAGTTTCTCCCACCATGGCAGCCCCTGTCATAGTCCACAGTCAGCTGAGTTCAGTTTCTTGTTCAGTAAACCCCTCTCACGTGGTCCACCACCTCACTGCTGGTTTTTTCAGCCAGACCCACCCATGCTGTCTGCTGTCTTGCAGTGGGTTCTCTCCATGCACCCATCTTACCAGTCTGGTTGGTCTAGTTAACTGTTTCTTTAATTCCTTGGTTGTTGGAGTTCCATGCAGGTTTATATTGTGGCACTTCTGATTGTTTATTGTTTTTAGATTTGTTGTTATCCTCCTTTTGGTTGTGCGAGGAAGCAAAGCATTTCTACCTAAGCCTTCATCTTGGCCAGAGCTCCACTAAGGGTAATGTTAAAGAGTTTACTCTCTAGGTTTTCTTCTAGGACTTTTATGGTTTCAGGTCTTCCATTTATGTCTTTAATTCATTTTGAGTTTATTCTTATATTTGTTGTTAGAAGGTGATATAGTTTCTTTTTTTTTTTTGCATGTATCTGTCCAACTTTTCCAACACCATTTATTAAATTTTTACTTCATTGTATGTTCTTGCTTCCTTTGTCATAGATTAATCAAGTATATAGGCATGGGTTTATCTCTGGACTCTACTTGGCTCCATGATCTATGCATCCGTTTTTATGCCACCACTGTGCTGATTTGATTACCATAGACTTGAAGTATTGTTTGATATCAGGTAGTGTGATACCTCCCACTTTGTCCTTACTTTTCAAGGTTTCAGTCACTATTCTGGGTCTTTTGTGTTTCCAAACAAATTTTTGGATTATTTGTTCTAGTTCTGTGGAATACATCATTGGTATTTTATAGAAATTGCATTGAACCTATAGATTGCTTTGAGTACTGTGGACATTTTAATGTTGTTAAGTCTTCTTATTCATGAGCATGGTATATGTACTATGTCCAGAAGAAGTCCAGCCACTGTTAATATAACAAGAACCATTTTCATGACATTGATGTGACCTGGAAGCCAATGAGAGGGGACTGGAATGCGTACACATAAACAATGATGACTTTACTAGTCAGTGAAGGTGTTGAGTGAGCATGTATACTTGTGTGGCCATTGGATTCAAAATGAATAAGTGAGTAGAGCAATGAATATATGAAATATTGTGTTAAGCTTGAACATTCCTTCTTGGAAACTGTTCAGATGATTCAGAAGGCTGCAGCTATCGACAGCTTCATCATAATAATGCCCCTGCTCATGCATCATGTCTCATGCAGAGTTTTTTGACAAAACGTCAAATCACCCAGGTAATTCAGCCCCACTACAGCCCAGATTTGGTGTCCTGAAACTTCTGGCTTCTCCCCAAACTAAAATCACCTTCAAAAGGGAAGAGATTTCAGGCCACAGATGAGATTCAGGAAAATATGATGTGGCAGCTGAAGGGGATTGGGAGAGCTGTGTGAGGTTCCAAGGTGCCTGCTCTAAAGGGAACTGAGGCATCATTGTCCTATGTACAATGTTTCTTGTATCTTGTGTCTTCTTGAATAAATGTCTCTGTTTTTCATATTACATGGCTGGATACCTTCTGGACTGACCTTGTATACTTCCATTTATTTGCATCTTTTTCCATTTTTTTCTTCAGTGTCTTGTCATTTTCTCAGTATAGATCTTGTGCCTCCTTGGTTAAGTTCAGTCCTAGGTATTTTATTTTCTTATTAAATTATAAGTGGGATTGTTTTCTTAGTTTTTCTCTCTGATAGTTTATGATTGGTGTATAAAAATGCAGCCAATTTCTGAATACTTACTTTGCATCTTGCTACTTTATTGAATTCACATATCAGTTCTAGTTTTTTGGTGAAATCTTTAGGGTTATCTATATACACTATCATGTCATTTGCAAATAGTGACAGTTTTATCCCTTCCTTTTCAATTTATATACCTCTTATTTCTTCTTGTCTGATTGTTATGGTGATGACTTCCAATACTATGCTGAATAAAAGTAGTGAAAGTGGACATCCTTGTCATGTTTCTGACCTTAAGAAAAATGCTTTTAGTTTTTTCCCATTGAGTATGATGTGGGTTTATGATGTTGAGGTATGTTCCCTTTGTTCCCACTTTGCTGAGAGGTTTTTTTTATCATAAATGTATGCTGCATTTTGTCTAGTGCTTTCTCTGCCATCTGTTAATATGCTCATATGATTTTTATTATTTATTTTATTTATGTAGTGTACCACATTAATTTGCAAATCAACATTACATTCCAGAAATAAATCCCACTTCCTTATGGTATATGATCTTTTTAATAGATTGCTGAATTCAGTTTGCTAATATTTTGTTTAAGATTTTTGCATCCATGTTTATCAGGAATACTGGCCTATAATTTTCTTTCCTTGAAGTACCTTTATCTGGTTTTGGAATCAGGATAATGCTGGCCTTATGAAATAAGCTTGGTAGTCTTCCCTCCTCTTGAATTTTTTGAAATAGTTGATGCTTTGACAGAGCAGAGCAACCTACATTGCTGTATTGTGGCATTATATGTGGGGGAGAAGTCAAAGAGAGAACAATGCCACTTGCTTGGCTCTTGCCCTCACTTCCCCCACAAGCAAATTGGGCCCTTCTGGTGCTGATTCCCAGGTGGGTGGGTTTGTGTACATTCTAGAACCCTCTTGGTCTCTCCAGCAAACTCTCCTGTGAGGCTGGGAGTTTTTCTCCCACCACTACAACCCCCACAGATTTTTACAGCCAGAGGTTTTGAGGCTTTCTTTTCCTGCACTGGAACCCTAGGTTGTACAGTCTGTCTCACACACAAATGTGGGGCCTCCAGGTCTGCCAGCCATAGCCGTGCCGCATGTCCTCTCCATCCCAGCTGCCAATCTCTGCCCCTCCTACCAGCCTGAGTGAATGTTTCATCTTTAACTCTTTGGTTGTCAGACTTTCATACAGTTCAATTTTCTGGCAGTTCTGGTAATTTTTTATTGTTGCCCTGCCTTTGGTTGTGCAAGGAGGCACAGTGTGTCTACCTATGCTTCCATCTTGGCCAGAAGTCAGGAAAATGCCTCAAATGTCATTTATTTCTTTTTCTTGTCTGATTGCTGTGGCAAAGGGGAGCCACAGAAGGTTCTGAGTGATGACTAATGTGGTATAGGGGATGGGAAGGTGAACCAGAATAGCCATGGGGATGGAGAGTTCCCTGTGGTGGGGGAAAGGAGCAGGACTGAAGCCAAGGTTGATCTCAGGGTGGGGTGAATAGTTCTGTTTCCCAACATGAAGCTTTGGCCTCCACTGACATCTCAGCCCCACATTTGTGCCCAGTGTTGTGTCATCTGTCCCAGAAGAAATATGAACCAAGTTTCCAGGTGGGACACCTAGAGTGGAGAAGGAAAAAGGAACAGCATATTGGCAAGTCAGGAATGATCTTAGAAGTTATGCAAGCCAGCATTCCCAAGGCCACTGACCCTTGGCCTCTGTTTTCATATCTAGTCCCCTTTTCATATCTAGTTGGCTCTCCTAGAGAGAAGATTCTTAGGCTGGCATGGAGTCAGGGTTGTAAGGAGCCTTGACATTCATTGTACCCCATGCTTCTTGTCCACTAAACGAAAAGGATCTCAAGGCTCAGAAGATAGGTGACTCTCCCCTGGGTCACAAAAGGAACTACCCCCAGTTCATGTCAGAGCAGGCCTTAGAAACCAGACCTCCCAACTCCATATCCAGTCTCAGAAATTATTATTTTTTAAAAGATAATTTGAAAATAAGAACAGTAGTATGTACATACAGAAGTATGTGCAAGAAAATATTTAAATGGAACATTGCATTTTGAAAAGCCAATCTCCTTCCCACCCTGTTCCTCAATTCTCCATTCCCTTCCACAGGGCACCACTGTATCAGTAGTTTCTTAAGCATCTTTGTCAGAAACAATATATGCATGTATCAGCATGTATTCTTTACCCACTTTTTTTACATAAAAAATAACATGCCACACACTTTTTCTTTTTGCCAATCAAATATCTTGAAGACTTTTCCCTACCAGTTCATGATCAGAAGGCACATTTTAAAAATAGATGATCATAATAACAGCAGGGGAACCAGTCCCTCATTTGTGCACTTTAAGTAATAAGAATATTTCAACAGTATTTATTCACTTTAAAAATAGTTACTTAATTTTTTAGTGCATATAAAGAAGACTTAATTGACCCATGAACCTGTACCTATACACTAGATAATACCTGGTGGTATTTTAAAAAAATACCTGGTGACTTTTTAAAAAAATGAAATAATCTTCAGAAAAGTATAAAATGAAAAATGAAAACTCATCACATATGCACTTCACCCTCAACTGTCCTTTCAAAAGGTAGCCACCAGTAACTGTTTTGATATGTGTATATACTCTGGGGGTGGGGGGAGATGAGGAAATTCCATATATGTGAAACTCTTTATAATGTATGCAAAGGGGATAGTAATATACAAAGTCTCTGTTCCTTCTATTTTCACTACAAATGCATTTCAGAGGCCTTTCTGTCCTGGGACAAAGTCCCAGCATATGGATATGTCTCCTCCCCTATTGCACACCAGAGGTGTTTCTCTTTGTTTGCTTCACTTGTACTTGGAATGCTGTGTTGCCTGTCCTTGGATTTGCATGTGTATCAGCAGGCTTCACAGTGTTGCCAGATTACTCTTAAGAAAAGGGTAATCTTGAGCCTCACCTGACAGTGTTTTAAATGCACTCACTTCTTTTCATCCTCAACAGCATATTCTCAAATTTGTTCATTTTTGCCAACTTGTAAGAGTTTTTAAAATGGCAAGCATGTTGTGCTTTGATTTGTCTTTCTTTCTTTCTTTTAAGATTTTATTTGTTTTTAGAGAGGGGGAAGGGAGGGAGAGAGAGAGGGAGAGAAACATCAATGTGTGGTTGCCTCTCTTGGGCCCCCTACTGGACACCTGGCCAGCAATCCAGGCTTGTGCTCTGACTGGGAATTGTATCAGCCACCCTTTGGTTCACAGGTAGCCATTCAATCCACTGAGCCACACCAGCCAGGGCTGATTTGTATTTCTTTAAATATAAGTGAGATTGAATATCTCTCCATGAACTGCTTGTTCATATACTTTGCTTTTATTTTTTCATTGGTCATCTTTTTCCTAGTGATTTGAAAGAGCTCATTATGTATCAGAGAAATTAACTTTCAGCTTATCTTCCTCAATTAGCTTCTGTTATGTGCTGCAGATATTTTTAAGTTTCCCATTTGTCTTTTTAATTTTTTGTGTTGTTTTTATTCAATTTAGAAGTTTTAACTTTTATATAGTCAAATTAATCAGTATTTCCCTTCATGGCTTCTGGGAATAAAAATATTTACACAGTGCATTTTATACAAACTTTTTACACATCACACTTGATCCTCACAGCAATCTTTGAAGGGAGGCAAGGCAGAGCTTTAACCATCAGTTCTGTTTCACAAATGAATGCAATGAGGCTGAGAAAGACAGTGGGACTTGCTCAGGCTGAACAGATTCTAAAAACCTTGCTCTCGCTTCCCTTGCCTACCTTTTACCAGCCAAGTAACTCACTCCTGGCACTGATAACAAAATGTCGTGGCTTCTCTAGTAAGTAGTTTTGATTATTCAAACTTTAAGCATCTTTTCTTCCTCTAAGTGCTCTTTTTAAAAATATTTTTGAAATTATAAAATTAATAGTTCTCAAAAACAAAAGCTCCAACAATACAGAAGAATGAAACATGGGATTTGAAATGAGGCCTCTGCTTTGCCCCATAAGCCCATCCATCCAGTGACTATGGTCAAGTCTGCTATGAGTGCCAAATAGGTTCCATGGGCTCATTCTTGCCAGGAGGTGAGGAAGGCCTGCCAGGAGCTAGACATTCCATTTTCATCTTCCAGAGCATTCCAGGAACACCTTAGATGCTTGAAAAATGCTTCAAGACAGGAGACTGAGGTGGTCACTCTGCTTAGACTATGAAGCCTCACAGGCCTGTGTTCAAGTGCCAGCTTTGTGAGTGTGAGCAGGTGACTTTCCCTTTATGTACTATAGTGACCCTGCCTGCAAAATTGGGATAGTAGTTTCTACCTCAAATAAATGAAATAAACCTCATAAAGTTCCTTACTGGATCCACTGATCCATTTGGCCCTGATGTCCAGGGTCATGAGGTATCAGAGCTGAAAATCAATCTCCCTCTCTCTCAAAAGCACAGAGAGAAAAGTGCCTTGCCCAAGGTCACACAGCCCATCCGCACCAGGGCTCACCGAGACTCCAGTCTCTTGACTCATTACATCACTTGCCCAGTTTCCTCTCAGTGGGACCAGCCATGCTCTTCTGATCTTCCGTTTCTCACCCTCTGGCCACCAGAGGGCGCTTCTTAAATACATCCCAAGCTACTGAAGCTCTCGGTCGGCGGCTCCGTGCTGTGTACGAAAGGAAGCCGTTTCTTTTCTGTCTGGTGTTCAGGGCTCTCTCCTACAAACCCAGCAATGCACATTCCCAGCCTTGCTTTTTACTTAGGTGCACCCATCCTGGAGCACCCTTCCTTTCCTACCCCTTCTAGGCCCAGCCTCTCCTATCTCCTCTACTTCTTCCCCACGGTTTGGGTCTCTAAGAAGGTGCTACCCCATTCTCTAGGACAGTTGCCAGGCCACTGAGTCCCTTCCCCAGCATTCAGTTGGTGCTGAGTCAATGTTCTCTGCATAATGAGAGGTGCTGCCCGCAGTCCCGGATCCTCCTCCCAAAAATGTAAGGAGCACGAGTCCTGAGTAGGAACTCAGAGGGACATAGTGCCAAGGGTGGATGCACGCAGCCCCCACATACTGTTGACTCTGGGCCAATGGCTGCCCACCTCTTACCCTCAATCTTCTGATCTGTGACCTGGGGAGGCTTGGGGTGAGGGGGTTGGACATTACCAGACCGGTTTGCAGTTTTCTGTAGGAGGGGTCAGGGCACTTGGCCTGAGGCTGAGTTTACTAGGTGTTTACTTAGGGGTATTGGGGAGTCTGAGGGAAATGCTGGGGCCACATTACCACCTCTAACACACATGGATTGTACGTACCTACCTCCTGGGGTCCTTTCATGCAGCTGCCCCACGGACCCCCAACACTGTCAACTTGCACGGACTCTTGTGACGTCCGCAGCTGGGGCGGAACCTACCTTCCCATTCCACCCCTCCTTCCCGTGCTGCCCCCCCCCCACCCCGTCCTTCGAAGGGGATAAACTGAGGCAGGGCTAGGGAGGCCACAGCCAAGGTTACAACACACCGGTAGTGGAGCCCGCAGGAAGGCCGGGAGCAGTCTGGAGCTCCCCAGCGTTACTGCGCCCCTTCCCCCACGCCCCGCTGCTGCCCAAGGCGCTGGGGCCGCGCCCGCTGCTGGGACTGCGCGGCTTCGGCTGCTGCAGACGGTCCCCGCAGAGGTAGGAGGTGGATGGGGATGAACGCAAGCCAGGGTGGCGGGTGGGGGCTGCGGGCGGGGGCTAACTGGGGCTGTGGTGGGAGATCTCCTTCGTGGAGAGCCTGGGCTCTTGCTCCGCGCAGGAGGCCGCCGCTGCAGGACGCGGGAGAAGCTATGGGCCACTCGGGAGGGGGTGGGGGATAGCTGGCAGTTGAGCTGAGCCCTGGAGGAGGTACCGAGGCCGCAGTCGCGGGGCCGAAGTCGTTTGCCGGGTTGTAGAAATGGGGATAAGAGGACGTCGGGCTCTCGGGTACGGGGGCTCGGGCTACGCTGGCCTGGGGGCGGCAACGGCCGGTCTTTCTGAGCTGGGGCTCTGCAGATGTCGCTCTGCGGTGAGTATGCGGGCAATGTAGCCTCCGTGGTTATATGAAACGCTGAAAGCGCAGTCTTGAGGAAGGGGGGATCAGGGTTCTCACCTCTGCATCTGTGCTTCCCCGGGGAGGGGAATCCGGAATCCGTCCCGAGGGTTGCCCAGAGAAGCCTCTCTTCTCCTGGGCACTCCCACCCTGCTCCCGCCTTCCTGCGGAGAAATCCTGCAGCCCTTGTCCGGGGTTTGGATCCTGCAGGCAGGACGATGAGGCATCTCAGGAAATCGCTGGGAGTCTGACAGAGGATTCAGGGAGGGGGGGCGGAATCTGGAGCTTCGTCTGCTCTGGAGGGGCAGGATCCTATTACGACCTACCCCTGACTCCCTGTGTGACCTTGGGCAGTCCCTCCTGCTATTGCGTGGGCCAGAGGCTGGTTCCTAGTCTTGAGGGGGCACTCTGGGCCATACCCCTAGGAGGCTGGGAATTGGTTTAGGAAATGGTGCTGGGGGCTGAAACAACCATGGCATTCTCCTGACCCTGTCCCAAAAGGTTCTCAAATGTCAGGACTATCATACCTGCCAGCCTGAGTTGGGATCATCCTGGACCAGGGGCTTAGAGTATGGGAAAACCCCATCCTGCCCACAACTGGCTGGCTATTCTTTGGCTGTGATGGGGCAGGAATAGTTTGGCAGAGATGAGTTAAGGCTATCTCCTCCCCACCCAGTCACAGGGAAAGCCCCCTTCTCATTCTTTTGCCAGGCAATTGCCACTTTAAATTGCCATGCTTTCAACTGTTGTCACAGCTGATCTGCCCCTGAAGCAAACAGAACAGACAGAACAGTGTCCCCTCTCCCAGGTTTGTCCACAGGAGCAGATTCACAGGGAAAGCAGTCCGCTCTGCCTGGTCAACTTGTGCATTTTGCTCTGGGCATGCTCTGTAATTGGCGGGGTGGGCACTTGTTCTACACCAGAAACAGGAGTCTGGTTATGCACTTCGAATAGCCACTACCACTTCACTCTGTGGTCAGTCCCCACCAGACAGTGCACATGTTGGCCTATGCAACCACCTCAAAGCAACTCTGAACTGAGGTGACACAGGAATGGCGCCCTGATCACCCTCCCCTGCCCCCAACATTATGTTTGGCTTTTCACTTATGCTGGCAAGGTGGCCAATCCTTTGTGCCCATGTGTGGCAGCCAGAGCCCAACAGCTGGGTTTGAAAGGAGAGAAGAACAACCCAGATGCCCCAGGAAGCAGGAAAAGATGAGCTAAGAGATACTTAGGTGCCAAAATGCCCAGAGCCCAGCCATTGAACATTAGCACTGGAGGGAGGATCCTGGGGCCAATCCCTTGTTAGAGATGGAGAAACTGAGGTAGGGACGAGTCTAAGGTCACACAACATCATACTGTTTTCAGTTCTCCAGCAATCCAGCCATCCTTGGGCAGTTACCCACTGGGGAATACTCAGAGGACTGAGTGTTCCTCACAGAGGTCCATGCAGTGGACGGGCAAGGAAGAGAACTGGCATCTTACTCTGCAGGTGATGCTAGCTCCTGCACAGTTTGCAAACCCTAAGTAATTCTGGGTCTAATGACCAGAATTGCCACTCTCTCTCTCAAGGCTGCTTAGAGGGGGTCATGGTTGCTTGCCCTTCCAGCCACTGTTCTGACTAACCCCATTCTTGCTGGCCCCACAACAGCCCTCATGGTTTTAGTCATGTCTCTTCCCCATTATGCACAGGGGAGTGCCAAGGCCAAGCCAGAACTAGGACCTATTGTGTCCAAAGCTCTCCTCCACATTAGTGCCCTAATTACTGGGGGCAAGGTGTAAGCTAAGCATCTAAGCATCCCTGGCCAAGAAGAGCACAGCCATCCTTTGTTCTTGTGGTAAGATCTCTGTCACTGGGGTAAGCAAGTTGGAGGTGAATACTCACTGGTCAGGAGGCTATGAATCTGGAAGATTGACCAGATATCTCATTATTTCCCAATGATCCTTCATAATTAGGGGGTAGGGAATGGGGTTCTCATTCCTATCCAGAGGTATTTCTTACATGAACAAGACTGGATGAAGGCCTATTCTGTTGGTGAGGTCTCTCTGTACTGGGGTTTCATGCATTGCCATTGCTCAGCCATGGTGTTCACAGCCACCATGAAGTGTGACTCAAACCTACTTCTGGAGCAGCATCTTCTAGTGCCCACCACCTTCCCACTGGACCCAGCCTTGCCATGTCTTAGCTCCTGCAAAAAGGTATGCCCCACCCTGCCACCTGAAACCTTCATTCATCCTAATCCCTCTCATCCCCGCATCATTCCCTCAGGGTACCACTATCACTGAAAAGGGGAGCAGTGTGCAGGAGCACAGGCAGGACTGACTTTAGACCCCTGGTGAGACGCTAGTCTTCAAGATCCCCTTTGTCAACGTAAGAAACATCCAAGCCTGTAAGAATTTTTATGAGTTTATTTTAGCCAAACTGATGACAATTGCCAGGAAGTAAAACCTCAATGAGCTGAGATCAGGATCTGGAAAATGGCAGTCTAGCACCTTATTTTATACATTACAATCAAAAGAGGAGGCATAAGTGGGTTACACAAAATCCATTGGTGGTAGATTAGGGAGGAGGAAGGACACAAAGCAGTGGGGGTTGGATCTCTGGGATTGGATAAAATGTGAAATGATAGACACTTACTTTTACACAGGTGAGTACAGGACAGTTAACAGTCAATTAACATGATAACAATAGCAATGAGGGGATTTGCTTTCTCTCCCTGATGCAGTGCCTGTGCTTTGAGGGATTCTGAAAAAGGAAATTTGAGATTCCAAAGGTATATTATAACAGATGCAAAGAGACAACAAGACAGGCTCAGTTAAGGTAAAGATTGACTTGTCAGGGAAGATTCTAGCCCAGGATTACCAGCCATGAACTGTTTTTAGTTAGAAAGTTTTAATTTCAGACCATCCTATGTGGTTACTTTATGTGTGAGTTTGTAAGGCTGCCACACAGGCCTCTCCTGAGCTTGTCAAGTTTTGCTTGTGGCTCCTTTTCTTTCACACCCTCCTCCCTGGGCTATTCAGTGGAGCTACCACAGCAAATCCCAAGTTGGAAAAGCAGGATGCAAGCAGCCACGTTCTTGTTGACTCTTTGAATAACAGTGTGAATGTGGTCTTGTGATCTAGCATGTTTGCATTTCAAACCCAGCAAATATTCTTAAAACTTTTATTTTTGTTTGTTTGTTTATTTATAGAGAGGGGAAGGGAGAGAAAGAGAGGGAGAGAAACATCAATGTGCAAGAGAAACATTGATTGGTTCCCTCTAGCACATGCCCAGACCAGGGACCAACTTGCAATCCAGGCATGTGCCCTTACCAGCATCAAACTGGTGACCCTTTGCCTTGTGGGATGATGTCCAACCAACTGAGCCATACAGGTCAGGGCCCCAGCAAACATTTTTGAAAGCCTGTACTCCTTGTTGCCAGACCCTGTCATGGGTGGCTCTCACATACATTATTCATTTCATCTGCAAAACCACAAACTCACCCATTAATGTGTGTAAAGGTCCTAGAAGTATAATATTAAAACAACAATATCAGCCCCACAAGCCAGCAGTGCACCGTCCCACCCACCACTGTTGATAGTCCTTTCAGAGCTACTCAGTTGCTCAAGGGTACCAACAGTTTTGAGTTTGCATTTTGTGCTCAGACATCCATCCTCAGAGGGGCAATTTCTCTGGGAGGAGTGCTCAGACTCAAGTAAGCATAGAGTCTGGTCTGACCCACATAAATCCACAGTGCCTGCAGTGGAACTTGTAATCTTGTACAGGATCCCCGGCCTCATATAATGCCTCCGTAGAAGGTAATTCCAGCCTGTACTGTGTCCCATTGTTGGGATGGCACAGTCTCTTCTGCAAGACTGTGACCTCCCTCAGGATCAAAAAGTGGCTGAGGTACCTCCTGGTCCCTTAGCACCAGGGGCTAATACGAGTTTCTTTTGTGCTCAACTTAGCTGAATACTGCCAGAAGTAAGCTGCCTTACAATGTAATGAGTTCTCTCTCACTGCAGGTATGCAAACTGAGGCCCAAGAGAGGATTTTTGTTTAGATGCCCTGGAGGGTTATTTTAGCTCCAGGAATCCCAGAGCTAAATGAACTTTTAAAAATTATTACCTGAGGACTTGGTGAAAGCTATCAGAATGGTAATATAGGTTCTTTTAAACATTTCTATATTTTTAAATTACAGTTTACATTCAATATTATCCTATATAAGTGTCTGATATACACCATAGTAGTTAGATAGTCATTTACTTTACAGAGTGGTCTCACCAATATCATGGTCATGGTTACAGGGTCATGGGTACTCATCAAGTACCCATGAGTTATTACAGTATTACTGACTACATTCCCTATGCTGTACTTTATATCCCCATAACTATTCTGTAACTACCAATTTATACTTAATTGGTATAAATTAAGTATAATTACCTTTACCTTTACCTTTTTCACCCAGCATCCCAACCTCCCTCCTCTCTGACAACTGTCAGTTTGTTCTCTGTATCTATGAGTCTCTTTCTAATTTGTTCTTCAGATTCTACTATAAGTAAAATCATATGGTATTTGCTTTCTCTGTCCAGTTTATAGGATAGTAATATAGTTTCATAAAAATGCTAAATGTCACTTAGATTAGGGGATTTTAACACTCCACTGTCAAAAATGGGTACATCTTACAAACAAAATATCAACAAGGATATTGTAGCATTGAACAGTGCTCTAGATCAAATGGACTTAACTGACATATATAGAAACTTTCTTCCCAAGAGGCAAAATACCCATTCTTTTCAAATGCATATGGAACTTTTTCAAAGATAGACCATATAATATGACACAAAAGCCTCAACAAATTCATGAAAATTTAAATCATATCAAGCATTTTCTCAGACTACAAGGGCCTGAAATTAGAAACCAACCTCAAGGAAAACAAATTGATGGAGATTGAATAGTATGCTACTAAACAATGAATGGGTTAATAATGAAATCAGGGAATAAATCAAAAAGTTTCTGGAGACCAATGAAAATGAACACACAACAGTCCAAAACTTATGAGGCACAGCAAAGGCAGTCCTAAGAGGGAAGTTCATAGTGATCCAGGCCCACCTAAAAAAGATAGAAACATTTCAAATAATCTTCCTAACCCTACATCTACAAGAACTGGAGGAACAACAACAAACAAAGCCCTGAGCGAGTAGAAGAAAGGAAATAGCCAAGATCAGAGCAG